GTTTCGGTCCGTGCAGCGAAGTGTGCCGCTTGCCCGGATAGGGGCCGTGCCTCCTTGGAACGAGCCGCTTCCTTCCTGCTGTTGTGTGGTTTCAGACAGCCTTTACAGGGCTTTGTGGTGTGTCAGAGCTCTGGTCTTTATTTCATTATATTTCCTTTTTTACTGCTGCCAAAGAGCCCCTTGGAGCTGTGCTGAAGGTTATACTGGCCTGACTGACATCTCTGGTGAAGCTCACGGGCAGAGTTTTCGTTGGGGAGGGGCAGTCTGCTACATGGTGTTAGTTTAGAATCGAGATGAACAGGGTGTATTTTTTCGTCTATGTACTTGAAAGCTAAATTACCTAACTACTGAAAATACATTCATCTCTAGTTGTCAAAATGGCTTCTTTTGGGTGGAAGAGAAAGATTGGTGAGAAAGTTTCAAAAGCTACTTCCCAGCAATTTGAAGCAGAAGCTGCGGATGACAAGGATGTGACTGAAGAAGATGATGCCAGCTGGGTGCATGCAACAAAGAGAAGAAAGGAGATTCTCTTAGAAGACTGTGTAAAGAAAAGTAAGGAGCTGAAGGAGGAAGGTGCAAACTTGGCTGAGAACAGGAGGTACTAATGTTATCTTACTCCTTTTCATTGACTTCACAAGTGCAAAATGATACTTTAATCCTTTCTCTAAAGACTAGGTAATTTGCTAGCAGTAGCAGTCACGTTTAAAATAGTGACCATTTCTTTTATTCCGCCTTTACTGCCTGACACTAAAAACCAGTTTCCTTTGGTGGCGTTGCAGCTGTGAAATGAAGTCTATATTCCATCTCATTTTTGTGTGTACACATAACAGAAAAATGATAGAAGGAAGGAAATAAGAAACTGATTGAATCTCACAGTGAGATAAGCTGCACTGTGCATAATGCTTTATCTACTCTGGTAGTTTTCTCTTCTATTGTAAATGTGTTTTTTTCCTGTTATTAAGAGTAAGCTTATTGTACAGTGCCCAGGCAGATGCTGCAAAGCAGCTAATGCACTGTTAATCTGTCTAATACTTTTGGAAAGTCGGGTCCAGGTAGCTGATCTGAGCATCTTCTGATAGCAGTACTGAGTTAAGAGTTTGTCAATTCTGGAAGGATATTGTAAAGATGGTGCTATTGTTCTATTATGCTTTAAGCAGGAAGTATATCTGGCATGGCAGGCATTAGAAGAGGGAAAGAGGGACTATAAATTAGATATTCACTACATAATTTGGCTGGATCTTCTCTGCAGGGAAGAAAAAAGAGTTCCAAGATTAGTCCTCTTAAAATCTTCAGAGTGCTTGAAATCTAAATCTGTATCTTGACTTTACCTCTACATTTTATTCATTGTCTTAGATCAGACATAATATTATTTTCCTGATAGAATCAATCCTATAATAAGTCACTATGCCCTGCTGAGATGCTAAACCTCTCATTACCAGAAATTTAATCCTAAAAAAGGGTTTTCTGGGCAATATGGAGGATAAACAATATAGAGTTTTGAAGCAGGCAAGTTTATGTATGGTAATAAACGCATCCTATATGTGGTCTGCTCTGATTTAAAGTATATAACATAATAATTAAATACAAAATGTCTTTGAGAAAAGATTTATTTGCAAATATTTAAGTACTGTTTCCTCTTAGTACTGTTCACTTGAATGGTGACACTGTTCAGGGGGACAGTGATTCACTTCTGTAGGTCCTTTTAAGGTCCTGAGTTATGTAATTCCTGAATAAGATTGTGAAGCCTTTTGAAGTTGACTTTAACTTTAAATCAGCTTTAATCACGCTGCCATTGTTTTAATACTTTTAATGCAGTACCTGAATAATGATAAAATCCTAGAATAGTTTGGCTTGGAAGAAATATTAAAGATCATCTAGTTCCAACCCCCTTGCTGTGGACAGGGACACCTTCCACTAGACCAGTGGAAGGTGGTCTAGTGGAGCAACCTCCATGCAGCCTGGCCTTGAACACTGCCAGGGATGGGGCAGCCACAACTACTTTGGGGAACCTGTGCCAGTGTCTCACCACCCTCATAGTGAAGAATCTTTTCCTAACATCTACTCTGAACCTACCCTCTTTCACCTTAAAGCCGTTCTTCCTTGTCCTGTCACTACCTGTCCTCATAAAAAGTCCCTCTCCAGATTTCTCACTGGCCCCTTTAGGTACTGGAAGACTGTTAAAAAATCTCCCCAGAGGCTTCTCTTCTCCGGGCTCAAGAAGGCCAAATCTCTCAACCTGTCTTCATAGGAGAGGTGCTCCAGCCCTTTGAGCATCTCTGTGGTCTCCTCTGGATTTGCTTCAACAGGTCCATGTCCCTCTTGTGTTGGAGACCCCACAGCTGGATGCAGTGCTGCAGGTGGGGTCTCAGGAGAGCGGAGTAGAGGGGGAGAATCGCCTCCCTCAGCCTGCCAGTCACTCTTGTTTTCATGCAGCTCAGGATATGGTTGGCTTTCTGGGCTGTAGGTGCACACTGCAGGTCATGCTGAGCTTCTTGTCAACCATCACCCCCAAGTCCAGGTCACCCAAGTCTCCCATGTTGGTTACGTTACTCTTGGTAGCTGAAAGCACAGAATACACCCATAAAGAGTCAATTAACGTCTCTAACACTGGAAATAAATTATTCAGTGGTCTATATAAAGGTAGGTCTGTTCTGTCATTTTCAGGTTATAGAGAGCTTTCAGAATATAGAGCTTGAGAAATAAAGAGGTATTTCTAAATGTTTTCTTTCTACAGCTGGTAATCACTAATATTTACTGTATTTGCCTATATTAAACAGATGGATTTTTATTTCTGTCTTACCTTCTGTTCTACCTTTGCCTTCCTCATGTTTTGCTTTGGCAGTTGTATATCTTCTCTCTGGAATTTGGTGTTCTTTCTTAATTATTCGTTTTTTGTGTATTATGTAAAGTGTAATAAATCTCCTGAACAGCAGCAAATAATCTTTTGTATATGTGGTTTAGGGCAGGGAGATACAGGCTGCTGCATATTTTGAACAGCAAGTAATTTTTGATGCTTTTGGGTATCTTAAGTTGAACTTTGAGGGATTTTTTTACCTGTCAGTTGGAAAACAATACAAAAGCTTAACCCATCCATAAGTAGCAACGTAAGTTTTTTTGTGCAATTAGGGAGAACTACATCTCCTCAGAAGTGCTTATAAGAGCTGCTGAGAAACAGTGAATGGCTTATAACAGGAACAAGTAATAAGAAATTAAAATGCAGCTTTTGGGAGGTTTATAAGACATAAGGTCCATGTATTAACGTTCTTATATCTAAGGTTTAACAGAAGTTCTAACTTGAAATTGTAGTTTCCCTGAATTTCTCTAGCACACTCTAATCACTTTAACCAATTACGGCAGTATGGTGCTGTCAGGGTACGTAACTTTCAGGCAGATTTTTCTCTTAAAAAAAAAATAAAAATGACATAGATTAGAGGCTAAACTTGCAGTGGGAGGCTTTTATTACTTGTTACAGGTGGAATAGTTGACATACCATTACCAGGAACTTGAGGAAGCGGACTGAAAGGAATGTTTATTTTTTCTGGTGGGAAGTTCTGGTAAGGGAAGGCAGTGATGTTGTTACACCCCCACTATGGATTTGTTAGTGTCTGTGTATGCAGTAAGTCAGTTTCTGTTGATGAACTTGCTGATTGACTTGTGCTTGTAAAGTGAGTCTTGGTGCTTCCTGGGGGAAGGAGTAACAGATGGACTTCTTGGGGATCAGAACTTGTACAGCTTGCTTTCTTTGCCTGTTGGCAAACTTGGGAGCGGCACGGGTGAATTGTTCTGGAGGTGACAGCCCTCTGTGGGTTTTCAGCTTTTATAGGACCCGCTTGAGGATTATTTGTACCTGCTGTAATATGGGTGCGTGAACCTGTTAAGCTGAGACTGAGGCATGCACAGAAAAGAAATGGTACTGAAGAGAACGGTTTCAGACGTAGAAGCTTGATCAATAGGCAGTTTTGAAGATGGTGTTTGAATGGCTGATCTTGCTGTCAGAACAGAAAGAAAAGGCAGGTACTTGGAAGAAGTGTCACACTGTATGCTCTTGGGATATGAGGAAAGAAGCAATTAAACAAACATGTACAAACATACATACAGTCTTTTGGGAAATAGACTTTCTCCAGAGGAGAAATCGGTTTTGCTTGTATGAAACTCCTGGTGCTGGCAGATTATCAGTCTTGAGACACTGGTGTGGATGTGTCTACATACGCTGGAAATAAAAGCAAAATATGAAAAGAAAACCAAAACAAAACCAACATAAAACCAAACAAAACCCAATCACAAACAACAAAACCAATCAACCAAAAGAAAATAACCTAAAAACCAACAAGCATAATCCAGGTTAGGTTTTTGTGTTGACAGTCCTAAAGTGTGTTTTAAATCCAGCATAATTCCAAAGGATAAAATCTCATGTGCTCAGACTCAGTATTTTGAATACAGCAGTTTGTGATTACTGTCTATTTTGGCTGATCATCTTTAACTGTGGAATGGGTTTAGATGAAATTCAACAGTGAAGTATAATGTCCTCAAACATACAGCATGTAGAGAGCTAGTAGCAAGGACAAGACAAACTTCTCTCAGACTGCCATCTTCAATATAATGGAATTGCATATGCATTTAAATGTTTTTGCAATCCCTGTGCATTTTTCAGACTACAAACATCTTCGTAGCTGGTCCAGTAGGTGGAGATAGAGTTCTTCTCAATGTACCCTGAAGATGTGCAAAAAATGTTCATCTAAATACTTATTTTTCTTTTGCAAATAGACACTATTAGGTTTAAATTCTTCATTTACATATATTTTTTCGATTTTGCTAAGTAAAAATTACTACTGCTCTCGCTTCTGGTGATGTTTATTTGTTGTTCCATATTGCAGTAAAAATATCTCCATCTCTAAAGCTAGTATTGGTTTGGGAAGATCATGTTTTCAGCTGGAACACTCATACATTTTGTCTGAGCTTACAGAGATTTGCCTATGTTAAAATAAATAGTTGTAGTCACTTTGTCACTTGATGCCACTTTGTCAGTTGATATGTAAATTAGACTGATTAATAAGGTTTTACTCTTTCTTTCCTTAAGCTTTTGCAGCAGTGAGTTAAATAAGGACATGTCAAAATGCTGTGAGCAGGCCAGGTATTAGGTCAGTTTTCACGAAACTGTTTACTTTTCAAGAGGAATTAAACTTTAAGAATTACTTAATTTAATTTTATAATTATAAAAAAGTAACAAATTGAACTTCTGTAAAGTGCTACTTATTCCACGTTTTAGCAATTAAAGCTTTTTTTCCCTTGATGCTAATATGCCAGCATCACTTCACCATCTGTAGTGTATGATTCCTTAGCAATATAAGCTGTAATTGAGTTTGTCTTTCTCACTAGATGTTGTAAGGTGGTTGTGTCAAATGATAAGGCATACTCCTTTAACGAGTGTGTTTAGTGTAGCGGAAAGCTAAGTTATCAAAAAAATAATATTTTTAATAGATGGAACAGAACAATAACATCTATTTAAAGTTGAAAAACCTGTCATGTTCTTATAACATTTGTATTTGTTGAGTTTCCTCATGTCTTTCAGGTTTAGATTATGATAAGCACTTGATTACT